CCGCCGCCGCCGGACGCGTAGTCGTCCAGGTGCTCGTAGATGTGGCGGGGCGTCGGCTGGCACCGCGTCCGCGCGTCGAGGTCCGCGCCTCGCGCGACGAGGAATCGGATGATGGGCACCATTCGGGCGCTGATGACCAGGTTCGACGCGTGGGTCACGGCGCAGTACACGGCGATATGGAGCGCCGTGACGCCGCTCTCTTCGACGGATGCGGAAACGTCCGCGCCCGCGTCGAGGAGCACGCGGCACATCTCCTCGTTCCCGGCGTACGCGACGACCTCACAGAGCGGATTTCCCGGGCCGCTCGGCGAGCAGTCGTCGGGCCGCTCGGCGAGGAGGAGCTTCAGCATGTCGTCGCCGGCTTCTTCGTAGCCTTTCCACGAGCAGTAGAAGTTCATGCACGCGAGCGTGTACGCGCTAAACAAGCGGTCGCCGTCCCGCCGCCGCACCGTCGCGCCGGCGTCCAGGAGGCGCTCCGCAATGTCGATGTAGCCTTGGATCGCCGCCATGCCCAACGGCGTCTTATACTCCGGCACGCTAAAGTTCACGTCCACGCCGTAGTGGATGAGCGTCTCCACGACGTTCACTTCGTCGCTCGTCACCGCGTGAAGCATCGTCGAGGTATGGGACGTTATCCTCGGCCACGGTCGGACGTGGCCAGCGTCGACGCCATCGACGTCGAGAAGGAGCGTGAGCGACGCCACGTGGCCCTGAGTGCAGGCCTTGGCGATCGCGTCGGACTGACGCTCGCGCAGCGAAGCTCGAACCGCGGGATCCTTGAGGAGCACAACGATGCAGTCTGGCTGACCGTAGAGCGCGGCCTGCTCAAGGGGACTGTTCCATAGTCCAAGGTCATCACGGGAGGTGGCGACATGGAGAGAAACCCCTTCTTCAAGAAGCACTTGCAACGATTCCGACCGACCGAGTCGCGCCGCGAGGCACGCTAGTTCGCCGCACTGCCTTCGCAGTCTGGGGACACTTTGGGATCGTGCAATCAGCTCACGCACCAGAAACCGGAAGCACATCGGGTGGCCTTCGGTCACTGCATATTCTGCGACATGTTTCAGGCTTAGCCCGTAAGTCATCGTCGGGAACCGCAGCAAGGCCTCGATTACCTCGACTTGACCGTGCCGCGCGGCAGCATAAAGCGCTTTTTTGAAAGCTGTCGATGTGTCTTGGAGGGCGGCCTCCTTTCGTCGTCGGGACTCTTGTAGCACTTCATCGTCATCGTCCGAATCCGAGTCCGAGTCCGAGTCCTCCTCATCGTCCGCGGCCGCGGCGGCAGTGGCGTCGCGCTGCTTCCTTCGCCAACGCTTTCTCACAAAGGAGCGGATGTCGTGGAATAGCACGGCGCGCTTGCCTACGGCGACGAGACGAGCGATCTCCTGCCACGCCCGACCAGCGTCGCCATTGACGGCGGCGGAGACCGCGGCGAGTTCCGGTTCGGGCTTAAAGTCGTCGGTGAAGCCATCAACAAGAATGCGCGCGAACTCGGCACGGATTTGGGGCGCGAGATTAGGTGACAAGTGGTCGTTGTTGCGAATCGAATGGAAGGGGCTGGATCCGAGAGAACCGCGAGAGAATCCCATCATGAAAAAGGGCAGTTTCGCACAGAGGAGACCAAGCGCGACAGAGTTTCCGGCGTCTACGGCAACGTCGAGAGCCGTCTTGCGTTGCTTCCGATTATAGAAGGAACCTCCGGGACAGAGGACCGCCTCGGCAGCAAAGTCTGGCGAGAGGTCGAGCAGAAGACGGACGACGTCGTTGCGCGAGTGCTCCACGGCCGCGACGAGGAGCGCCGTCGCCGCGGACTGCGCGCCGGCCTTTCGCACCTCACCCAGGAGTATGGAACTTTCTTCGTCGCCAATCTGAACCGTACAAAGTCCGTGATATCCGCTTGATAATCTTTCCGGAAGGAGGATTTTGGCTTGTTTCCAGGTCCCGTTGATAGGGTTGAGCGCACCTTGTTCGGGTTTGGCGTAGACCTCGACGTCGTCGCCGCCCTTCAACGGGACGTGCCGAGCGAGCACGGCCTGGCACGCCGTCTCCAAGCGCCGCTGGCCCGCGCTGCCGTCGGCCTCGCCGTCGCGTCGCGCCTCGAGGTCTTTCAAAACGCCGATCGCGAGCGAGAAGACGCCCTGGCCGCCGTGCCGGTGCTTGAAGACGACGTTCTCGAGCTCGGCTCCGAAGCAGACCGCGGGGTCGCCGCCGCACCGCGACGTGATGGCGCTGGACGCGGCCGCGAGCAGCGGGAACTCTTCGATATTCACGGACGCGACGTCGCCGGGGCGGACGTCGCCCGCGCACCGGATCGTGTCGACGACGCCGACGTTGCCCTCGACGCCCTTGTAGTACTCGGGCTCGAAGGGCAGCAGCAGGCCGTCGAGCGCCTCGGCCCAGATCTCGCGCCAGCGCGGCGCGCCGGCGTCGCGGCACGCCGCCTCAAAGTCCTGCTCCGTCAGCCGATGGTTGTAGCCGCGGCCGCGCTCCGCCTCCCGCCGCAGGTTGTTCCACGCCGCCGCGTCGACGACGCGCCGGAGCAGGGCGGCGTCGACGGACGACGCCGAGGACGCGGACCGCGCGAGCATCGCGTCGTAGCGCTCCGGCCCCAGGCTCTGGCCACCGTGGTCGTGGCCGTGCCACAGCGCCGCGGCGTCCCGGAGCGCGCGCGGCGCCGAGGGCCCGCCCATGGACCGGACGAGCGCCGCCGCGTCGGCCTCGTCGACGCGCCAGGAGCGCCGCGGGATGAGCATGCCGGCGTTGCTGAGGCGCTGGAAGTAGCGCTTCCCGAGCTTGCGCGCGCGCGCGTCCGTCGGATCCGGGTCGACGAAGATCGTCATCTTGCCGTGGCCGAGGAGCCCGAGGCGCGCGCGCTTGATCGCCGCGAGGGACGCGGCCGCGCGCGGCGCGTCGAGGACGGCCGTGCCGTCGCCGAGCGCCGCGGACTGGCGGCCGCAGGGGCTCAGGAGCCGCGCGCCGCCCTCGGGCGGGTAGACCGCGTCGCTCGGCGTCCACGGCACGGACGGGTGCAGCTCCCAGTAGTAGCCTCGGAAGAAGGTCTTCGTCACCACGAGGGGCCGGGGGCCCAGGAGCCCCGACCGCCGCGCGCGGCAGAGGCGGTCGCGGTCCGCGACCATCATGACCCGTCGCACGCGCTCGACGTCGAAGGGCCGCGCCTCGAAGATCTCCGTCGTGTCGAGGAGGAGCTCCGCGGCGCGGCTCGCGCGCCGCGCCGCGTGGCTGAGCGTCTCGACCGTGAGGACGCGCTCGAAGCCTGAATAGGCGAGGATGGCGGAATACGCATCATTCGACGTGAGCACGCGGACGAAGGTTTCGGGGGACGCTAGCCGTTTCTTCGCGAGGGTGTCCGCCGCCGCGGGCGCCGGCCGGGACTGTGGCGTCTCGCGTGAGGTCGTCCCGCCCATCACAAGGAGTGTCCGGGTTGACCAAGCTTGGCAAATTTGCCGATCACTCGCTAACACGAGTCGGATCGACCGCTCCGCGCCGCGAGGAGGCTGCGCGGCCGGCTGCGAGCCGGCTCGACGCCCGCAGACTCGACCACTCCGGGCGTCGCAAGGACCAAGGCGCCGATACCCGAAACGAAACACCCCCACCCTGCTATTGTATGACGCGGCCGAGCGCGGCGCAGACGTAGTTCGGCGCGACGACCTGGTTGAGGAGGCCGCGGCCCGCGAGGGGCACCCGGAACACGGTCGAATCGCGCCTCGCGCCCGCTTGGTCGCCTTGGACGTTGGCGAGGGCGACGGCGAGGTCGACGGCGACGAGCGTGACCTCGACCTCGAGCCGCTCCTTGATGGACTTGCTCTCGGGCGACGCGCCAAAGTACGCGACGTCGCCGATGACCGCGAGGCCCTTGAGGAAGGTGCCCGCCGGCGCCCGCCAGACGTGCGTGTAGGTCGCCTTGTCGAGGCTCAGCAGGCTCAGCGCGTTCGCGGCCGAGTCGAGGTGCACGAGGTACGCGGACCGCCACAGCGCCATGCCGTGCGCGCCCTTGCCGACGCCGGAGAGCGACCGCTTGGACGTGGAGATCATGGGCGAGGGGACCATGTCGATGCGGCTCGGCCGGCCCCGGTTGTGGACGCCGACGAGGAGCGCGTGGCCCTCGGTCTTCGGTTTTCCCGACACGCCGACCTGGTTGATGTGCTCGTCGCGGCTCCACGCGGGGAGCTCGCGGAGCACCTCGAGCTCGTCCGCGGCCGCGTCGGGCGTCCTGAGCTTGAGCACGCGGCCGTGGAACGTGTCGACGAGCCAGAACGCGTCGCCGACGCAGACGGCGTCGTGCGCGTCGTACGTGCCGGGGATCACGAGCCGCTTCTTCACGACGCCCGGCTCGCCGCCCAGGAGCCAGAGCTCGTCGCGCTCCGCGCCCATGGGCGACGTCACGACCCACAGGCCCTCGGCCGTGGGCACGCTGCCGCGGAACCGCGCGTTCCGCTCGTGCGCGAGCACCGAGACGACGCGCCGCTCGTCGACGTCGAAGAGGCTCGCGTTGCTGTGCGTCAGCAGCAGCACGCGCCGCGCCGGGAAGCCGCGCACCTTGTCGTAGGCGCAGCTCCGGTTCACGTAGGACGCGCCGGACCCGCCGCTCAGCAGGCCGTGGCGCTCGAGGCCCTGGAACTCGTCGAAGTGCGGCGGCGCGCTCGGGGTCGCCTTCGCCTCGTGCGCTTCGACGAAATCGCGCACCTCCGGGAAGATGTCGATGTCCTGCGCCGCGCGCGCCAGCGCGACGGCCGCGACGAGGATGCGCATCGTCCGGCGCCGCGGCGGCGCCGCGCGGCGTCGAG